CTATCTTCTAAATGCAAACTGTCACTGTTTTGCTGCACACTAGCTTCTAGATTAGGCATGGGACGATAACCGTTTATATATTCCAATATCGCAGCATAGAAAAGTCAAGGTTTTGAAACAGCCAAAATATATATCGTTCCCAAGGTATGTGCAAGATTTTTTTTATTTACTTTGTTTTAGGACAACAGAATCTCCAGCAGAAAAGATATCCAAAGATGCCGTTTTAAAATGTAAAGAAATCAGTGTTTTTGAAACTAATGAAGAAAGCGGAAGTCAATGATTTATTTGAATTTATTTAATTAATTAGCCTGACATATTTACCACTACAAAATATTTTAAACCTTTAAAAAAAATATTATATATTGTTTTTGAAGGGGGATAAAATAGTTGTTTTTTTAACCCAAACATTTAAAAATATATGAAGAGTTCAGATGCAAAAACCTCTAAATCCATCAGACCTCTTTTCTTGTAAATGAGCATTTTCTATCAGGCTCCTCCGATAAGGTTCAGAAGTTTCATTTTATATGTAATGATAAAGCTATTAGCTAGTAAATAAAATACCTTTTTTTTTTTAAATGTCACTTTAGACAATTCTTTGTTATTTAACAAGGTAAATTTTCTTTTGTGTCAAACCCAGCTAAATCCACCTCTGCTTTTTATGCAAAACCCTCTAAATCCACCTATTGGAACAAGACAGTGTAATTAGTTAAAAATGAAGATGCCATTAGAAATTATTATTTTACCAAACACGAAACACATTACACAAACCACCTGAAATTTAAAGTATATAAATCTGTCAAGTAAATCCGCTGAGATAAACCAGGGACAAAGCAGAAGGAAAATGAATTAATGAAATTTGTAAAGTAAGTGCATTAATCAATAAAACTGAAATTAATTAAAACTGACATTAATTAAATCTTAATAATCTGTTGTCATTTCTGATATTTGGGATACAGATTTAATGTAAGTAGAGCAATGTAAACATTGCAAACATTGTAAACGAAACTTGGTAGATTCAAATAATGTAGTGTAAAAATATTGTGAAACATCAATATCTGTGCATTGTCCATTAATATAAAAATCTTATCAGACGTAATGGGTATAATGAAGTAATATTAATAATTTATAGTTTTATACATTATATTTATCTTTTTAAAAAAATAGCTTACATTAGCAATTAAACATAAGGTAGGTCTACTGGGCAAAAAGGGGATGCCTCTCAGACAATTTTTGAAGCTGTCATTCATTTATTCTCACCATACATAAGGTCTTGGTCACGTGTTTATCCTCATAGCATCCACGCGGATTAAAAGAACAGCATCTTAGCTCTGTCTTTCGTGAAATGGAGTTGCCGTTTATTGTATAGTAAATCAGATTCATTCAAAGTAGTGTCGCCACACAAACAAATGTTATGAATGCATGTTACACTTCCGACTGCACATTGTTTCCTTTTTCTTATAATGCACAGAGTTTTTAGGAACGGGATGTTTTCATTTCCCATTCACGGAATTCTGACAGCCTCATCTAGTTCATCAATCTCCATCTTTTAAAATCGAAATCGAAAGTGGAATAGGTCTCCTCATAAAAGCCGGCGTATTAGTGCACTGCCACATTGAAAACATATGATTCAATTCACGCCTTCTGATTGGTTCTCAGGACATAGCAGCTTTTGCTGTCAAAGGCAAGTGGCGTTTAGCGGCTTTTGCCAGCAATCTGTAATTTCTGAATGCGCTGATGCTGGGATTTGGATGATTCGCAGCAAATCTATTTGTTGATGGTGTACTACGTGCCTAAAGCATTCACTCGATGTCATTATCTCATTTTTGGCGGAAACGGCGTTTAGTTGTTTTTGCATGTGAATTCTTCATACATATTTTAGAGCAGTAAACACAATACCGTGATACCGTGAAACCGAGATATTTTTATTTAAGGTTATCATACCGTCAGAATCTTATACCGGCCCATGCCTATTCTAGATATCCTAAAAACAAACAATACTGATACTAACATCTAAAAACTTTGATTTAATTTCATGGGACATTTAAATTCAGGACAAACCAACTAACTAAAACGCAATTCATTGAAATAACCATAGGCACACCTCTCACCAGGAGTATTTTCAACACTTGATATTAAATAGATGAATGTGGAGCTCAAAAATAATTATTTGTTGCCATTTTAAATATTGATTTATATTTTTCAACTTTCCTCCTTCCACCCATTTGAAAGAAAGATGTTTATAATCCCCAAAAATAATAACATTTAATGAAATGACTCATTCTTCTATACACTATAACACATCGTCCCTAAATACACGACACCACAAGATTCCACCGATAAGCAATTTGTCTGACGCAACAGAAAAAGACTACAGAATACACAAGATATCTTACTCCTATAGTTTTAAATGGGGAAAAGTATAACGGTCAATATGGCAAATTAAGCCCTGCCTACTAGTACCAGAGACAATTATCTATCGCTATAGACTGACGTTTCTCTGAGGAAGAAGCTTGAACTAGACATGTGCTTTTACAAAAGTTTTTGTGGTCAACAAACGCACTGGAATCTCAGCGAATTCTTGCTTCACAGACATAAAATATATCCACACAAGCTTGAAATCTGTACTTTGAAATGAACCGAGTGAACTTGAAAACAAAAAACAGCCAATCCTGTCAAATCACATGACAGCAACTACTCAAATGCCCACAAACTTGTAAACAAAGAGTCGCTGTCATCTCTGGAGGAGATTACTCATCAAGACCAAGTTGTGGATTACTTCAGAAGAGCAGCACGATCTGACGATCATTATTCAGAGGATGATAATGCGTAACACCAACATAAATGAGGTCGGTGTCGTGATCTCGTTCTTTTCAAGTGTGTATGCGCATTAGCAAAAAATTGTAAAAATGCTGATTTTGTTTGATTTGAAAATTTATAACCTAAGCTTATGGGACAGTTGTTGTTTAATTTTATTGTTGATTACATGTATGTAATGTAATTGTAAGCTTGGCAAACAGAAACTTGATGTTTCCTCATTCAGAGAGAATGCCCGGGCATATTGCCCGAGAGGTCTTTTAAAGATGGCCCCTGAAAGAAATTACTCCCCTTAAAGGGACTTTGAGAAAAACCTCTAAATACCAGCCACTACACTCCCAATGAAATAGTAAAAGCTTTTAATTTATTTAATACATATTATTATATTTTATATATATATATATATATATATATATATATATATATATATATATATATATATATATATATATATGTATATGTATGTGTATGTGTATATATATATATATATATATATATATATATATATATATATATATATATACATATATATATATATATATATATATATGTGTGTGTGTGTGTGTGTGTGTATATATATATATATACACACAAACTCACCGCAATGGCTCTTTACAAAATTGAATTTGCCAAAAAAAAATCAGAAATGGCTCTTTGCTAATAAAAAAAAAACCTAACCCTTGATCTAAAGTCATATTTTCTTTACTGAATTTATAAGGTTCAATATCAAATGCAAAATAATCAAATCAAATAAAATCCTTTATGTTCTTAAATATCCAAGCTTATTAAAGCCCTTATGTACGTTTTCCAGAATAACTACCTTTAAACACTATATTGTGAAAGATACTGTTAACATGTAGTAAATGTTCTCATACAGTAAAATTAAAGATTGGTCACCGCCAAGCCCTAACTTTAATGACAAAAAATAAATATATTTTCATTTAACAAAGTTGTCTATTTTGCTGATTGGCAATACTGGAGTAATATTTCACATTTAACTTGCATGCGTTATGCTTCAAAGCATATATAAATACTTTTGGATGGAAAAACATCATGCCATTTGACTACGAGACAAGTGAACATTTGCATACTGTAAGAACCATAAACAGCATTTCTATGTGGAAAATGATGTTCATCCACTTTTGCATCTATACGCATTGCTTAAAGTCCAGGTTTTAGGTTCAACTGGAGGACTATCGGTTTCAACAGTTTTTCGTGGGCAGCTCCAACAGCCAAGCGGATCCAAGTGCCTCTTGTTCCTAGCAGTTCTGCACAACCTTGGGGAGCCTGCGCGCCCACGCTGCCCTGAAGAGCCCTATGCCACCCTGACATTCCTGGAAAAGCACTGCGTAAAATCCACACGCAGGATTAAGTTTTGATATCTGATATCTTCATGTGTACAGACTGGGAGCTTCACGGATCATGCATGGAACATTACGTTTTGATGCCTGATATTTTTGTATTCACAGATTGCGAGCACAACAGAGTGTGCAGAGTGTAGTGCACATTTCTGCAAATCTGTGCAGTGCACTCTTAATATTAAACCTAAATGGCCTCAAAAATGAATTCAGCATCAGAAAACATGCAACAACCGTGGGACGTAAAAAAAAATATACATAATCTAAAACTAAATTTGCAATTAAAAAAATAATGAATCAAACACTAATGAATGACCAAACAGAACTGGTTTCCTACAGTCAATCTACATTTAAAACAGTCCAACATATGAAAAAAGAAAAGTGCATGCAACTGGTTTGAAGCAAAACCAGCACGTCCGTGATAAGAGAAGTGTAGCTGCTGCACTGCGCTGTGATTGAATGAACAAATCCAAGCAACAACAAAAAAATACATAAACACAAACTAATACTCAGAAAAACAACGATAACCAGATATATAAAGGGATATTTCACTCAAAAATTAACATTTACTCACTATTTACTCAAGTGCTTCCAAATATAGTTTCTCTATTCAATTTAACACAAAAGATGATCATTTGAAAGCTGAAAACACTTAACCATGGGGGGGAAACACATAGAAGTCAATGGTTACAGGTTTCCATCATTTTTCAAAATATCTTCTTTCGTGTTCAACAGGAGAAAGATTTGTAACAAGTACAGAATGAGCAAATGATGAAATAATTGTAAATTTTTTGGTAAACTATCAGTGTTAGAAGGAAAACATCTTACCAAACCATGCCGTAAGCGCCTTCTCCGATGTAGGAGAGGTTGCTGTAACGCGGCCCGACATCGAAAGCCTGCCCGCGGACCATCTCGGCACCGGATCCGGGGTTCGGGCCGCCGCCAGCAGGGGCAGAAACCGCAGCTGTCGCCATTGCTGAGAAACTGAAGCTGCCTTCACAAGCAAAACAAACGCGCTTTTCTCACCCAAAAGCACCAGGAAAAGCTCTTAGGTAGAGTGAAACACGGCGAAAAGCGACGCTTTTAAACTGAACCGAAGACTCGGTGTTGGAGAGCAGCGGCTGAAATGCTGTTGACAGGCATATATTTTCTGCTGATAGTAAATTAACGTGCGCGTGGCTCCGAGCACCGACTCACCGACTGACTGACTGACTGCAGCCGGAGAGAGAGCGAGTGTTTTACCGCAGGAAGTAGCGGAGCAGATCACGTGGGCAGGAGTGGAGAGAGCGGTACCATAGAGACAATTAGCTTTTCATTAAAAAAAGAGCTGCATATCGATTAATTTATTCATAATAGCAATACAGTTAATTAGAGTTACATGATAATCACCCCATATGAAAACACACTGAGAAAGTAGGCAAACAACCAAAGAAAATGTTGTCGCTATTTTGTAAAATTATAATTATTAATTTCCCATTGGCTTAGATCTTTTTTTAATCAGGTGTCTACACAGTGGAATGAACCGCCAACTACTCTGGCATATGATTATGCAGCAGATGCCCTTTCAGCCGCAACCCAGTAGGCTACACTGTAAAAACGCTTTAAAGAGCTGCATATCGATTTAAATAATATAACAATGCAATAATTATAATTAAATGATGTCACAAATTAACATCATTTCAAATTACACGGAGAAAGTATTGACCAAAGTAAATGTGTAAAATGCATTATTCCATTGTTAAAAGTGAACACCCAGATTTATCATTCATTAATTTTTCTTCAGCTTGGTCGCCACAGCAGAATGAACCACTAACTTCTCTGGTATATGTTTAAAATTTTACATGATGTTGCAAATTAACCCCACATCAGATTACACTGAGAAAGTAGCAACCAAAGAAAATGTTGTCATTATTGCTAAAAGCGAAAACCAGCGGAATGAACCGCCGACTACTCTGGCATATGTTTTACGCTATGGTTTTATGCAGCAGATACCCTTCTGGCTGCAACCCAGTACACTGCAAAAAAAAAAGGTTTAAAGAGCTGCACAATGATTAAATTATAATTAATTAATTAATAAGTACAAGAACAGTGCAATTTATTAGGATTGCATAATGTGGCAAATTAACCCCACATCAAATTATACTGAAAAAAGTAGCTACCAAAGAAAATGTTGTAATTATATTGCTAAACGTGATAAACACCAAGATTTATCATTCATTCATTTTCCTTGGTTTTAGTTCTTTTTTTAAATCAGGGGTCACCACAGAGGAATGAACCGCCAACTACTCTGGCATATGTTTTACGCAACGGATACCCTTCCAGTAGCAATCCAATACACAGAAAAAAAAGGTTTAAAGAGCTGCATATTGATTGAATTATAATAGCAATGCCATTAATTATGATTACATGATGTCACAAATTAACCCCATATCCAATTACAATGAGAAAGTAGCAATCAAAGGAAATGTTGTCATTATTATATTGTTAAAAGTGAACACCCAGATTTGTAATTCATTTATTTCGCTTCAGATTGGTTCTTTATTTATCAGGGGTCGCCACAGTGGAATGAACCGCCAACTACTCTGGCATATGTTTCACGCTATGGTTTTACGCAGCAGATACCCTTCTGGCCGCAACCCAGTACACTGAAAAAAGGTTTAAAGAGGTGCATATTGATTCAATTATAATTAATTAATTAATAATTACAATAGGAATGAAATTAATTATGATTACATGATTTCGCTAATTAACGTCATATCAAATTACACTGAGAAAATAGCAACCAAAGAAAATGTTGTCATCATTATATTGCTAAAAGCGAAATAGACCAAGATTTATCATTCATTTCCTTCAGCTTAGTTCTATTTTATTAGGGGTCGCCACAGCGAAATGAACCGCCAACTACTCTGCCATATGTTTTATGCAGGGGATGTCCTTCCAACCACAACCCAGTACATCGAAATATACATATTTATTGGATTTACTAAATTTGGTTTAAGGTAAGTGGTTGCAAACCGTTTATATGAGCTGAACAAACGTTTAAATTTAGCCCATATCAATTGTTTGCAACCACTTACCTTAAACAAAATTGGTAAATCCAATGAATTATACTGCGAAAACCAAGATTAATAATAATAATTAAATAGTGTTTATAATGTTTGACATGCATGAATATTTGAGGTTTCAGAAAGACTTTATGAAGGTGCAAATGAAAAACCTCATTGGAGAGCATGCGGTTTTCAAGCATATTTATGCATAAAAGATATTGCTTACACATAATACAGCACAAAAGCATGGCTATGATTTAATAATAATAAAGAAAAAAACACAAAAGATCTACTCAAGTGATGTGAGAAATTAATCCAAATATTATTTTCCTCATAAGAGTTCGGGTTTGTTCTGTAGTTTATTTCTTGTGTGTGCATAATTGAGAGTGTAAGCTTATGTGATAGGCAATCTTAAGTGCATATTAGTGTGGTTTACTTGTTGCTAACCACACACACAGACACAGCTAAACTAAAACTGTGGCAAACGCTAGCGCAGTCACGGAAGAAAAAAAAAAATCCAGACACCAGACGTGACGTGAAAAGCACTTTATTCACATTATATGAGATTAAAACCCAACGGTTTGGTTCAAAGTCCACAAAAACTGCATAAGAAATGCCACGAGACAGAACTTACATTCAGTTAACATACTTTAACAGGCATAAAAGATGCCATTACAACATGCGAGAACACTTAGGTCCAAGAGGAATTGGCTTTAGTTAGTAAAAAACGTATAAATGTGCACAACGACGACAGCAGTAAAAAGAGAAAAGTAGGCGCTTGAAGACTCAGCGCTCTTGAGTTTATCAGTCAAGCTGCTTGCTTGTACTTCGAAGCTGATTCTGAATGTGTACATCAAGATAAGGCACTTTATCACATGCTGTGAGCTGTTAATACTCATGTGTTCCCATGACTATGTTCACTTAATAGAAATAGAGACAAGCAATAGTTACAAAATGTCCTGTAGGCGAAGAGTCTGTATCATCAGCACTGAATATACTAAAGAGCATGTTCTTTACAAAGTGGTAACAATTAATTGAAGAGGAAGTTCATAAGACTGTCATGAAACCTTTATAATAAGGACATGACACATTATCTGCTTGTTAAGTGTGATGCGAACTGGTTTCCAGGTCCAAGCGCCATATTAAACTGTATAGGGTAGCTCATTAAAGGGAAATAATAAAGGTTTATGATGTATTATATTAGAAAATCATGATTGCAATATATACAGTGGGGGAAATAAGTTTTGAACACGTCATGTTGTTGTTTTTGTCTGAGAGCTGTTGACATGGAATTGGACCAGATTTTGGTAAAAAAAATAAATAAATACACACACAAAAATAAAACAAAACAACAAAACTCATTGTGTAATAACAATGAAATGACAAAGAGGAAATACTGAACTACTGTAATGTACTGAAAGCTAAAAGACGCCTTTCATATGGAGAATGAAGTCACATGAATTGTTCAGATGTGAGTTTTCCACAGACTTTTACAGAGTGTAAAAATCTTGACGGTTTCTGTGGGTCTCGTCTATCAAATCCGAGCTTTAATTTGTATTCTTTATTAGATTCTGATCAGGGGATTGGCTGGGCCATTCTTCAGCTTGATTTTCTTTCTCTGAAAGCATTTGAGAGTTTCCTTGTCTGTGCTTTGGATCATTGTCTTGCTGAAATGTCCACCCTGGTTTCATCATTATCATTCTGCTAATGTAGATGTTGAACTGAAGCAGCTAATATTCATTTATGATGAGGAAGGGCAGAGGGTTGCTGAAGAACTACCGAGAGATTTCAGCTGCTGTCTGGGCTTTCACTGCATTTCTACATCTCCCTTACTTCATGTGTCCAATAAGTTTTCCCTGCGTCACTTTATTTTATTACACATAACTTAATTTTTAAACAAATTAAATTTGCATATATATTTTCTTTGCATATATGGATTTCTTTGATTGTTACCAACATCTGATGAACATTTCAAGTCAACAGCACCTTTAGAAATAATATTTTCTGAAAAAAAAATGGTAACGTGTTCAATAATTATTTCCCCACTGCTTAATATTCGATGGCCAGAAAGTGATTAATTTTTAATAAATTGTTAAAATTATAGGTGGGCATGCTTAATCTCGCAATTAATCTAGATAAAAATGGCTCGTTTAAATTCTGCTGAAGGCATTTAGAATATGTGTGCTACCCAAATAATAAGTCTTTGAGAAGAGGTTTCTCAAGCCAGGCGGCTCATCTACTGTTTCCAAAATGCATCACATACTGCTTGAGAAACTGTTCTACTATGATAATTGGTGATGAAAATAAATGATGTTCAATAAGATGTACTTGTGTTTACTAATTGTTTATTCAGTTAAACATGAATTTTGAACTGAAGGCCTACATAAGCTCCAAACAGCGATTTTTGATCACCCTAATCCAACTAAAGCCATAACTGAACTAAACAGAAATGGAATCAGGACATGTGGATTATGCAGATATCAGTGGCATAACTGAAGTAAACACCACGAACCCCTTCTCACCCCGAAGGCATCAAAATCAGAAGCATGGTCCAGCAGCACCTTGCGCGTCAGTATGAGGACGTCAAAGGTGCCCCTTGCCGTCACTATACAGACGCAAAAGGAATTCCATTGCTTTTAATGGGTTGCCTTAGGCGTCGTATAGAGACGCTTAAAGCCTTGTATAATTTCATGTAGGATATTTTGCCATATTTTCCGACAAGATCCACATAAGGAGCACGCACACACACACACACACGCACGCACGCACGCACGCACGCACGCACGCACACACACAAACCCACACATCGCGAAACGCGAAAGATTGTTTTCTTTTCATTTGGTGTGCGATATTAAATTCCGTGACACTCTCACCAGCTCTACTCCATATTTGTGTCTAATACACCAGTTTATCTCGAGGCATGAAATGAAATGTTCATGAGTTTAAACTCCAAACTGCAGTTAAAGTCAGGCATCCTGCTGATTTGATTCAGAAGGGCACTTTTTTGTCAGACGGCTCACCAGTCAGGTATACATCCGCGCTAAAATATCAATGTGAAAGTCACCGTAGCTTGCGTAGAATAGACCCAGATCCCAACCCAACTTTGAGAATAGATTAACAGCGATATTTTTAAAAATCGCACGATAAAAGTCTTGCGTTAATG